TGATTTGGACTTACCTCTTAATTTTATTTTGGTTGACTGTTTTACTCCAGTTTATTTCTGGTTTGAATCTTTGTTTCCCAGCAATATTATTATTTTGGATTTCTACGAGCTTCAAGCATTGGTTTGAGAATGTGCATTTATTTTGACACGAGAAAACTTTTATCTCCTCAGCAGGAATATGTTGGAATTTCCCCGGGAAGTCATATCTCTTTCCCCAGGAAGCCATATTGCTTTCCCCAGAAAGTCACTGTTATCATCCTTCCCATAAGACCAAGTAGCCGGTCTCTTTATTTGAGCAACTTGTACTTCCCCGTAAAAGTCAACGTTACTTTTTTTGATATCTTCTCTATGAGTGAATAGTTTGCAGTTCATTGTCAAATTACTCCAGTGTATGGAAAATATTTCAATGTCCCTAGGGACAGTTTGTTGTGAAATCTTTGCAAGTGGAGGTCTCTTTATTTGAGACAGCTTATATATTACCCTTTCCAGGAGGAGTGCCTCGGTTAAAGAAGAAGTTGAGACCCATTCTCGGTGAAATACCAGAATTTTGGGAAAACTTGTTATATTTTTGCTACCCCCAGTGAACGTTGGTAGTTCATCGTCAGTGAACGATGATGCTATGATATATTCTCTCTACCTTCAGTGAAAGTTGGTAGGTCATTGACAGCGAACGTTAGTGATTGTTATCTTTTTGCTACCCTCAGTGAATGTTGGTAGTTCATCGTCAGTGAATGGCGGTGCTATGATATATTCTCTTTCTACCTTCAGTGAAAGTTGGTAGGTCATCGGCAGTGAACGTCGGTGATTGTTATCTATTTGCTACCCTCAGTGAACGTTGGTAGTTCATCGTCAGTGAACGGCAGTGTTATGATATATTCTCTTTCTACCTTTAGTGAAAGTTGGTAGGTCATCAGCAGTGAACGTTGATGATTGTTATATTTTTGCTACCTTCGGTGAACATTGGTAGTTCATCGTCAGTGAACGACGATGCTATGATATATTTTCTCTCTACCTTCAGTGAAAGTTGGTAGGTCATCGGCAGTGAACGTCGATGATTGTTATATTTTTTCTACCTTCAGTGAATGTTGGTAGTTCATCGTCAGTGAACAGTGATGCTATGATATATTTTCTCTCTACCTTCAGTGAAAGTTGGTAGGTCATCGCCAGTGAACGTTGATGATTATTATCTTTTTGCTACCTTTAGTGAACGTTGGTAGTTCATCGTCAGGGAACAGTGATGCTATGATATATTTTCTCTCTACCTTCAGTGAAAGTTGGTAGGTCATCGGCAGTGAACGTCGATGATTGTTATCTTTTTGCTACCTTAAGTGAATGTTGGTAGTTCATCGTCAGTGAACAAATACCCTTCTTTATCTGTGGTCCATGAGTCATCTTCCTCATACATGAGCTTTTGTGGATACTAAGGATTATGTGAAACGGTCTAAGAGACTGATGGGTCTTGCTACCCATGATACTGTTTAGTACTCCATGAATTATGATGAGATTACCTACTGTCGTGGGGAGGTTCCGAATGTACCTCTTATGGGGGTAAGAGGAGGTATCAATTATAATCACATCCTTTCTCAATGCCAGTTGGGGTATGAGATGCAAGGCTAACCCAATAACAAATGTGTGGATGAGTCCATTCTTTATGCTTTGATTGGGAGTCATGAGATGCTGATGAAGCCTGGAATGAAATTCACCTCAGAAGGAGGGCTGAAGGCCCCTATATTGATTGGGTTAGGAAGAGTGTTGAGATTTTTCATCTACCTTTTCCCGTGGAATTACCTTTGTATCCAAAAACCCTTATTCAACACACTTTTGGGCCTATTTAAGAGTTCAACAATCACCAAGATGGCAATCAAGAACTCAGAATAAAATTGAAGAGTTGAAGAAAGAACTCAATAAAGCTACATGTGAAAGGAATGAGATAAGAAGAGACCATTCAGACGAAAAGTCAAAGGAAAGTAAGAATCGGAAATGGTTTGAGAGTAGCTTAGCTCATTGTTGATGATGAAAAGGAAGAATGTCACCAAAGAGATAAGGTTGATCACCAACTCATCATGGGCAACTTCCAATTGAATAAAAGCTCTAACAAAGATTGTAGAACTCAAAGAGAAATCACGAGCTGCAGCTAGTGGACTCAGAGTTGAATCTCACCAGGAGGAGTTTGACTACAAGTAACTTCGAGAAGAAAGTGACCATTTGGAGCACTATTGTCTTTACTTAGAAGTTATTTACCCACAGGAGGAATATGCTTAATCAAGAGTTGATTCAGAAGTAAAAGCATGATGCAACGCCGAAGCTTTTCAAAGAGAGACTCAGGATTGGAGCAAGAAACATCTTGGTTGGAGAGGTCTTGCTAATGAGAAGATGTTCCTAAAGGGATGTGCATCTGTTGATCTATGATCGCCATCATTTATTTTAATGGGATCCAATTCCTTTGAATGTCGCCTATCGATTTTGATTGCAATGAATCCATGATATTATCTCTCTGAGTTACACTTTCTTTTTGCTAGTGTTATATTCCTCTTGTATTTACTTGCTTACTCAAAGTCGATAGATTCTTTGGAAGTGATTAAGCATAGCGTTGGCATACTCTTATGCGTCGTTATGCATTCATGCATATTTATACACACAAGCACTCATAACAGGTGTTCAGCATCGAAGATTATTGTTGTAACTTGGTTTTCTCTAATAGAAGTGTAAACCTGGATTTCCCTCATTGCCAAAATTCACAGCAATCAAAGATTAGCTAAGATGTAATTTTATGAAGACTCGATTGGGATGAAGGCCCAAATGGGTCAGCCTATGGAGGAAATGCAAAGATGGTGGTCTTGTATTCGTTGCTGCAATAGAGGTTGTTACTACTCCTTTCTCTTATCCTTCGGGATTGGAGGAATCGTTGTGTTCAAGACATCTCAAATGGATTGGATTTGTTTGAGGTTTTGCAAATTGGAAGGTTCATGTATTTGGATTAATTGGAACCTAAGATGGAATTTAAAGTGTGCCACAAATTCAAACACTTTTTATCCTTTCAAGCTCAAGCTTTAATATTCATTTCAATATCAAGATTATATGGATATGAAATCAAGACTATATGGATAACTTTGAGACATTTATCATCATTGATTCAAGATTGCAAGTTAAAAATTCAAGAATAATTCCATTCCAAATTCAATCTCAAAAAAAGAGAGTAAAACTATTCATGGTGTTTCAAAGTCCTTTTATTCAAGTTCATACAAATATAGTTTAAGTTCCAAATTTCCTTCAAGAATGCAAGGTTATCCAAAGTTCAACATCATTTAATCTTTCAAGATATTATTCAAATTTGAATTCAAATTCAAGAACATTCAAAGTATACATCAAAAGTAAAGATCAAAGCTTCAAGTAACCATTGTTTCATTCAAATTCATCACCATCCAAAATTACAATCAAAATTCATTCAAATAGAAATCAATGTCCAATGTTTGAACGACTCAATTCTTACAATGCTTTTCGTTTACAAAAAAAAACAACTTATCCACATCCAAATAGCCTTGAAGTTGATACAAAAACTAATGCAATTCTCCTAGAATTCTGCCCAAGCTCGTGAAGAAACCTGAGTTCACAACTTGTACTAAAGTTGCCCTACATTTACATCAGAAAACCGATTCAGATTTTAATTATAAAAAAAAGAAGATGAAATTTGAAAGTAAAGATGCCTTAGGAACCTTCTTTGATGGTTTAAGCAAATACTCATTTTGCAACAAGCTTGAAATGTGGGACTGCGACAGTGTAGTGAAATTGTGAGTTGCTAGTACAGGTCAAGAATTTTCTCATTTATAGAGAACATGAAAAATGGCTTAGTCTGTTTACTCCTGTCCAGTATGACTTACACATTTTTCTAGTGGAAGTGATATACACGCGCCAAGCTGAACACAGAATTTTGAATAAAAATTCATAGCAGAAATACGTTGATAGAAATTAACATCCAGCAAAACAACATAGAACAAAATCATTTGAGAAAATTGCAAAACGGATTTTGGGAAAGGAATTAAAAGCTTGCTCTAGAAGTTTCTGATATGGCCAGTTTTTTTCAAAATTCAGAAATACAAAATAACAGAAAATTTGCAAGCTAAATTCAGGTAAGATCCATCCATTCATTGATATAACAGAATTTCAAATTCAATGGTTCAGATTATGTTACCTGTAGCAAACTTCTCACACAAGCCAAGACAACAGCTATAAATCAGGGCTTCATTCACAAATCTTTTGGGGAGGATTTTCACTTCTACAAACACATCTCAGAGAAGTTTCAAAATTCTCTTTGAAATTCTCAGAGACTCCAACGATTCAATTTCTTCTAAACCAAAAAACTTCATTTCTCTGCTCTGATCTTCATTCACAAATCTGAGGAGGATAATTTCACTTCTGCAGAAGAACTTCTCAAAGAAGCTTCAGAGTTCTCTCTGAAATTCTCCGAGGCTTCAACACGATTTATTCGGCAACCTCAGAAATTTCTCTCGGCATTCTATCCAAATTAAGTCTTCATTTTTTATCATCTTCACCAGTTCACTCTTCTACATCTTCTCTATTTCAATCTTCAACAACTTTTCTCAATAATTCTCTATATCAATGAGTCTGAATCTGCTTCTCTACACAACTTCATCTTCATCAACAAGTCTGAATCTGCTTCTCTGCACAGCTTCATCTTTGTCAACAAATCTAAATTTTCTTCTCTACAATGATCATCTACATCACACATACTTCATCAAACATGCATCATCTTTAACGCTACTGTAATCTGCTTGCATCAATTTATCAATCTGCATTTATCAAAACAATAACAGAAACGCACATGCGAAGAATCAATGGAAACAAATCGTAAAAAATCTGAAGAGGAAGTAATTTCGAAGAAGAAGTGGAAGCGAGTTTACCTCTGATTTTGCAATCATCTTTATTGAATTGAAGAAGGCACCGGACATGCCTCCGGTAGGTAAGTATACTCCACGCTCTCCTTAGATAATTTTACTGTCTTGCTCAAATTGATTATGTCGAATATTTTCATCACTGCATAATCTGAGTTGAGAGGTTGAGACGAATCCACGGAGCATGATACTGAGAGCGAGGAAGCGGAATTGAAGCTGATACGAGGATGTTGATGAGAGAACTGTGCCATCTGAAGCGAAGTGACGAAGCTCCAAAGAATGAGGTCGCGATGTAGGTAGATTGAAGAAGAAGCAAACACGCGAAGTCAAATCGGATGAAGTGTTGATTCGTGAGCAAACGTAGTCGCGAAGAAGAGGAGGTAGCATTAGAGATGTGAGACGAAGCGCATCAAAGTGAGACGGTGAACTGGAGTGAGGTTGATTTCCAAATGAAGATGGAGAGTTGATAGTGGATGAAGGTTGTTGTTCACGATGTGGCTCTGGCGGCGTTGTGTTGAACGAATCAGAAGGAGATCGGAGCGTCTATAGAGGGAGCATCCACAATGCATCTGAAGCAAAGTCGTAGCGGGAACGTAGCTTGAAGTTGATGATGGAGATGATTAGAATCGGAGACGGCGGAGCCGCTATCACTATTAAAGTTTAATTTCCGCGGTGCTGTTGCGAAGAGGACGAAAGAGTTGGGTTTGTGGAAGCTGAATAGCCATAACCGTTTAACCCTAATCCTGCTTCTCTCAAACGACTTTGTTTTGTTTTTTAATTTTATTTATTTATTTTATTTTATTTCTTTATTTAGGAATTTGAAAACAAAAAGCTGAATTGGTTTGAATTAGTTAGGCGTCGATTTTGAACCTCCCTTAAGCCCATACTGCCATATTTTTTTTGGTGCTTGTTACAAAAACTTGTGTTGGACCCTTCAGCATGGGCATAGTGTCCCATTTGGTTGCAACACATCTGAGCGAAACTTTATACCTCCCTCTATTTCCTATTCTTTTATGGTTTTTAAATCTATTTTCTTTTATTGTTTTTTTTAAGATATTAATATAATAAAAAATAATAAAAAGAGATATAAAAAAAAATAATACTTTAGGCTTTTATAAGTATTTTAGGATTTAATTAAATTTTATTCCTATTATTTATTCATGCTTTTAATTTCTTTTAAATCAAATTTGCACATCATGTTCTATGTGTTTTCTTTGTGTAATAAAATGCTTGAGAATTGAGGATTATCTTGCGTTGAAATGCCATGCTCCTTTAGGATTTCATGAGACGATTAATCTCCCTTTTGATCGTTTTATGTTGATTAGACCTTAGGAAGTTAATACAAGCACAAGCATCAGAATAGCTTTTGCCTTCTTGCTTCAGGATAGTTCCTTCATCTTCTTTAAAAATTTTCTCTCTCCTTTTGAAAGCACTTCTTGTTTCTAAACTTGGATCACTTTCATAATAAACTTAGACTTAGGTCCATGTATTTTCAAAATGTTTTCATAAATAAACTTCAGTCAACTTAACAATATTTTTACCTTTTTGTGAGAAGACTGAAAAATAAATCAATCTCATTCAAACCATTTTGCCATCTTGGCTTTCATCTTAAACTTTTCTCAAAAGATTCGACTCTTGTCAATCCTTGTAGTGATGCAAACAACTATACTTCTATGATATATAGTGAAGTTATATATTTTCCACTTGGGTGTTGAGTGAGGCATTGTTGATTTTAAAATCCAAGCCATATCCTCCACTTTGAGATGATGCAAATTCTCATTTCTCATGATTGTGGGTAGTAAGTGTGTTTTCCACACGGACAATAACGATGATGTCTTATCTCTTAAAATCAACCAACACACTTGTGTTTTAAAATATTTAAAAGAGGAACTACGTGTACCCTGATCCCCTATTGCACGAAAGGTGGTACGTAGGCACTAAAGGTTCGCAACCGTGGCAGGTGAAAAAATTATAAAAATATTTCTTTTCTCACCTCCACCATCTATTTTTATATAACATTTTATAGCCAAAATATGCAGATTTTACAAAGATGTTCTTGTGGAGTACCGTAGATGTTTAGGGTGCTAATACCTTCCCTTTTCATAATCAACCCCCTTACCTTGAATCTTTCCCCCCACTTTTGGGTTATTTGCTCTTTTACCATTCCTTTGGAAACAATAACGCACGGTGGCGATTTTTATTTTGATATGTATAAGTCAAGTAAATCCAATGACTTAGTTTTAAACATTTCTACCGCTACACTGTGTTCGCCTCTTTTTGAGGACTGGTAGAAGCAGTATTACAATGAAGAATTTTTCGACGAAAAAGACTTTGCTGCTCACCTTCAAGAGGTGTTTTTGCTAGTCTCTGACAAGATAAAAAAGGGTAATCTTCTTTTTCAAAGAAAATGTCTTTATCATCTTCAATCTAATCATTCGAAACCTAATTTATCTTTGTTCATTTTCTAGCGGTCAAAAGGACTGTCGCCAAGAAAGTCGATAAAAGCGCAAAAGGAGGAGACTCTTCTGTGAAACCTTCACCCAAGGTAAACACTTTCTACTGCTATATATTTATTTCCGACATATTGCTTTTGACGCTAATGCTTTTAACTCCTTTCTTTCTAGGCATTTGAAATCTATCCGCAGAAAAGGGAAATTCAAGAAATTGAAATTTCCAGTGATGAAGAGGAGGAATCTCCTCCTGTCCCCTTAAAAAGGCAAAAGTTAAAGAAAGCAGACCCTATTCCTGAGCCTCATCTAAAAACCAAGGTTAAGGTTAAATTCATTGGGTTGAGACCTCCTCATGTCGTCATCAACCAACAGAGCAGGAGATAGCTGCTAGGCTAAACAATCCTAGTGAGAGCGACAACTCAAGTCCTGGCGCTGAAATTCCGCCTAAGGTAATTTCTTTGACCCCTCATGATTGTTTATTGACTTTAACTTCTTTTTCCTTTTTCAATAGTTCTGATAACCATCTTGTAATCTTCAGGACACTGCTGGTACTTTAAAACAGAACCTCGTAGAAGAATCCGTCACCTTGATAAACAGTGAGGGTGATCCTACATACAGGCCAAAAGGATCTTTTGTGAGTTCTGCTAGCTAAGTGAACCAAACTTCTGGGCACGAAGCCGTTAGGAAGCCTACTGAAGAAGTTTCTAGTGAAGAGCATGTTAATCCTGAGACTTCGCATGCTAATGATGATGGATAGAAGGATGGGGAAGAGGAGGTTGCTGACGATGTGGTCGAAATGGAGAAGGAAAACATGCCAGCGGGAGGAAATCAGACTGAAGATATTCTGGCGATTGATGAGAGGGAAGACTTCACAGGGGGAGCAGAAAACTCTACGCGTGTTGAAGATGTTCCTGTGTAGATGCATGTCGAAGCCAATGTGGCTCGTACTGTAAACGAGAGGGTTACTTCGAAAGGGTCTCATACCAAGGAATATTTGGCATTACTGAAACGGCAAAATCCTCTTGGCTACCTGACTGCCATTCTTGAGGGTAGAGAAATTTCTTCTGACCAGAGTGCTTCGACTACGTTTGGCAAATCTACTTCAACATCTCCTCTTGAAGAAACACTTCAAAAGGTTAAGGCACAACTTTTCAAAAGAGATTTAATGCTGACCTTAGAGGGAGAACCCACAACTCCTTCCTTTTTGAAGACTACTTTAAGAGCTGTCGACCTTCTTGCTTCTTCGCCTAACATTGCTAGTGTTATCTTGGATCTGATTTCCATCATCGATCAGGTTTCAGCTGACTACAATCGTTGAAGAACTCTTACTCGTGAAATTGAGGAGGCCAATTGCCATGTAGCTGCTGCCTGGGGTGCTGCTGCTAAATCAGCTTCAAAGCTGAAGGAGCTGTCGAAGGCGCAAGAAGCTAGGCAGAAATAAGTAGAAGAACTTGATCAAAATATAGCCAGTATGAAGGCTCAGATCAATGAGTTAGAAGCCAAAATTGCTGCCAATAATAAACGAAAGGAAGAACTTCTCGCTGTCAGCGCTGATTCAGAGAGTCAAGAGGAACTCAACGAGGGATTAGCATATGCCGAACAAGCCCAAGCATTGGATGTCAAGATCAAGACTCTTCATCATTCGAAAGCCCTGTGCGAAAGATGCTTGGAGTTGTAGAAGATAAAATACCTCCAAATCAAGGCCAACCTCCCGTTTTGACTTTGACTTTATTTTTTCATTGTATGCTTATATATTTTGTAATGACTTTCATCCATTTTGGCTTTATAATATATTTCCATCTTGGATTTTTAACTTGATTAAGATCAAGTATTGGTTACTCTAACCTCTTGAAGTGCAGGTCTATACTTTTTCAAGTATTTACCATTTACTCTCAAGAGCCTTTGGTCTTCATTTAATTCTTCGACCTCATATGCGCCACCAGATAACGCTTGGATGATCTTAAAAGGTCCTTCCCATTTAGGAGACCAATTTCCCATATTTCTATCTTTTTGATCCATTGGGAGGATTACTTTCCATACCAGGTCTTCAGGCATGAATGTCTTGGGTTTTACTCTTTTATTGTAAGATATTTCCACTCTCCTCTTTTGTAACCTTAAGAGATCCAAAGCTCTCAATATTTCTTCGTCCAAATCAATCAATTCGTCTAACATCATATTCCAATAAACTTCAGAAGGGATGTCTTGATGTTTCCGAATTCTTGTTGACTGTAGACAAATTTCTATTAGCAATACTGCGTCATGGTCGTAAGTTAGTCAAAAAGGCATTGTTTCGGTAACTTCCTTAGGAGACGTTCGACAAGCCCATAAAATTTGATCTAAAGTCTTGTGCCAATTTTTTGGCTTCTTTCCTACATGCTTCTTTATTAAAATGATTATTACCTTGTTTGCCGCTTCGACTTGACCATTTGCTTGTGCATAATAAGGCATAGACATTAATAATTTGAACCTCATTTCTGTAGCGAACTCTTGCATTTTTCGACCAATAAAGACTGACCCTTGATCAATTGTTATTGTCTCAGGGATTCCAAACTTATATATAATGTGCTTTTGAATGAATTCAATGACATTTTCCTGGTCTATATTGACTAAAGGAATTGCTTCAATCCACTTAGTAAAATAATCAATGCCCACCAATATATACTGCTGGCTTTTAGATGACGCTGGTCGAATCTCTCCAATAAGATCCAAGGCCCATCCCCTAAAAGGCCAAGGTTCCACAATTGAGTGAAGTTCGCTTGCAGGTACGTGTTGGATACTTGTATGTACTTGACACTCCTTACATCCTTTTGCAAACTCAACACAATCTTTCAACATAGTGGGCCAATATAGTCCTTGTCGAAACAATAACTATTTCATTTTATGGCCCACTTGGTGTGCTCCACATGCCCCAGCATGTGTAGTTTAAAGGGCTATGCA